GATTTTAACAACTCTGAGCTATTAGTTAAGTTCTCCCCAAGCGAGCTCGATGGGCCGAATGGCCTCCTCTCGTTTGTATAGTTCTTATGTTCTTATGTTCTTATGTTTGTTGCAATGGCTTTATAAGCCACACAGGATCAAAACACCAGCTGATTGAGTGAAATGCAAATGTGAAAAACATCAATCGGTGTATAGAAGGAAAACGAGGAACTGAAACAATGTTGTTTTTGTGTGTGTGTGTGTGTGTGTGTGTGTGTGATGGATTCAGTCAGTGCCACCTGCCTGTGTCCACTCTTCTTTTATAGAAACCGCCCACTCAGGATCATGGTGGGACCTGGAGCCTATCCCAGGCAGCAGAGGACATGAGGCTGGGGTACACCCTGTACCAGGATGCCAGTCCATCACAGGGCAGATACACACCCACCATTACAATCATACACTTCAGGCAATTTAAAGACACCGATTATCCTAACAGCAGGAGAAAAGCAGTAGTTCCTGGAGGAAGCTCCATGACATGGGATTCAAACCCCCTACCCATCTGAGCTGCAGTGGCTCACTAGTGTAAGACTAAAATGAAATACGTGTAGCTATATTACAATTTCAACAGAAACTGACAGGGAAAAATATTTTCTAAACTAGATAGGTGAAATTAGTATATACTCACTCTCAGTGTAATTAAAACAAAACACAAAGCGAAACCAAAAGTTTTAGTGTTCATTAGTTTCGCACATTCTGATGAAATTAGCCTCATTAAATGGCCAACCCCACTGGAAAGGAAACAGGAAGATGGAGTTGAAACAGGAAGACAGAACCACAAAAACAAATGATCCTTATAAGGATTGTTAACCTGTTACGGCAGAGATGTTTGCTAGTCATGCTGTGCTGGAAGACCGTGGCAAAATTTCAATCAAGGTTTGCCGGATGGTCTCCTGGTTCTTTTTTTTTCCTACAAAACACGAACATCTGGAATAATAGACTGAACATAGAGAGTATTTCTCGAAGAAAGGAAGAGCTCATGACTGATTATGTAATGCTGGAGTCTGGGCATTGTCCCACTTTGTCCTTTTGTTTAGAACTGCAGATTAAATTAGGGTAGTAGGTCAAATTTGTGAAGAGATAAAACTTTTAAACATTTTGCAGGTAGAGGTCTTTTAGCTTGCTGTAGTCTGATTCAGTCTTAGAAAGACACACTAAAATTTGATTTGAATCCAGCCATCAGCCTTTCCACTTCAGAATACATATATATTTGAGCACTGACTTGCCAACCTTTTCAGGTTGAGTCTGTTAGAAGGCTGATATATAAAGGTGTTTTCATGTAGACTTCTCTCTGCCATTAACTGTTTTAAAGGTTTTTTTTGCACTCAAAGGTGAGTCAGTAAGAAAGAATAAAACTATTCCTGATTATTTTTGCCCTGGATTTACAGTTGTCTGATTTTTAACATTTATTTGTCAGTGTAGGAATGTTAGATTATTGTCTGAGTGTACAATTAATTCAAGCATGTGGGAGTTTTTGAAGGGTGGCTGTTTATGTTTGTGTTTTATAGTGATGAACATCATTTTGTTCTTTGTCTCCAAAAGCATTATGGACAGTTGAGATTCAGACAGAAGTGCTATTTTCATGCCTGGACTAATGTGTTACTATCTCTGATACTGCTACTGAAACCATTGATTTCTTTTGACTATTTACTGGAAGTTTCCCAAACAAACAACATATCATACTGAGTTTATTTTTAACCTAATAATCACTAAGGGCTTCACACTCAAACCAAGTTACCCTCCTGGCAGCAATAATTTACTTTCTTAAGACTTGAAATAAATGTTAAATAACATCCCAAGTTATTTACAATATAGTGTATAAGTCTAGTGTATAGTCTATTAAGTTAAAGTGTTGTTTTCCTCATGTGAAAGTACAGTACCTGGTGTCACTATCTATCCGTAAGACTATTTGTAGTGGTTTGGCTGGGCGGCTCTGAGCTCTGTATTATTCTATACCAGGGGTCACCAGGATGCCCCCAAGCACCACATGAGTCGCCCGCGGGCCTGTTCTAAAAATAGCACAACTCTCCAGTGAGCAATTTAATTTTATCCTGTTGCTATTCTTCTTTAATCATATTTGCATTTATATAGATTTGAAAATTACAATATCTAAAAAACAGCATTTAAAACATATTTATTATACATGAAGTTTAGATAAGTTTAGGCGGGTGTTTCAAACTGGTAACCCTTCGTATGACTCAGTACCCGTGAAGTAGCTCTTAGTTTCAAAAAGGTTGGGACCCCTGTTATATACCCTGTTCTGTGGTTACTGATACTGAGTCACTAAACTAAATAAATCAGAGTTGCATTCAAGATTCATGATTCAAGTGCTTTATTGTCATTGTGCAACACAACAAAATTACTTTTATGTCAGCCACAAGGTGCATTAATAAATACAAAATAAGTGAAAACAAACAAACAAACAAAAAAAACAAACAAAATAAAAATAATCATACAAGATATGTCAAAGTATTTATAAAGATGCCATATACAATGCTAAATCTTTTTACAAATTATTTCTAACCAGAGCAGAATAATCAGAACAGATACTATTGTACCAGTGTACAGCAACAAGAATTATCCACATATTGCATATATTTATAAAAAGTAAACATAGAATTGCACATCCAATATAACTTATTGTACGTATTCAGTGAGAGATTATCTCAGACTGATGGGGTACAGAGTTCAGCTTTCAGAAAGCAGTAATTTGTCTTACCCCATCACCCTGACCAGGATAAGTGATTTGATGGATGGATGATTGAAGGAAGGCTGGATAGGAGAATTGAGCGTGGCTTGGCACTTTGACAGATTTGGGGTTGTGGGTTTGACTCCTGGCTCAGGTTGAATGTACATGCTTTCCCTGGGTCTATGTCAGAAATGCTGCTGAATTGGTGTGTCTAACGTGCCCTCGGTCTGCATGCCCTGTGACAGATGGGCATCCTGTTCAGGGTGTCCCCCACCTAGTGCCTTTTGCCTCTTGGGTTTGGCTACAGCTTCTCTGTGATCCCGTACTGCAATAGGGGTCATGAAAACTGAATAATCATTAACTGAGATCCACATTTCAATAGCATCTTTTATAAACGATATGTATCACTAGTACTAGAAGTTTGCATGAATGGTCTATCACACTTGAATCAGCCAGCGGCTCTAGGACCTGGTGGGAGTCTCCGGGTTGCAGCGGAGGGGAGTTTCTTAGCCCAGAGAGAGGCTGTTTACGAAGAAAGCTCGTCTTTTGGAAAAACAAGACATGGTCGCGGTGTGGGAGAGAGCAGTTTGAAATATAAATCATAGGCTCTTATGCTAACACCAGATCCTATTTTTCGCATTCGATTTTTTTTTAAGGTTTGTCGTCGGCTTCGTTTGTTTTTCTTTTGAAAAATACCGAGAGCGGTTATACAAAATGGTATTTGAGCTGTACTTTCTTCTGCTGAGTGTCGGAATTGTGGAAGGTGCATCAATAATTCAAGGTAGGCACGGAGGAAAAAAAGTCATTCGGAGTGTAATGCCTGCATTTTCCAGATTTGAACCGCAATGCTGGCTTTGTTTACGTCATGAGGCGATTTTAGAGTCATTTAAACACCTACACCAATCTTGTGGGTGTGTGTACATTTTGTATGTAACTTCAATGCATCTAATTAATCAATGTAAGTTCTGCTATTCCAGTTCCATTATTATAAACCTATGCATATTTATTTTTAATTCAAGTTTTACCTTTTTGTAATGGTACTGCTGTGCCCTGTCCATTCCTAAAAAGCAGAAATTGAACTACCTAATGGGCATATTGATTTTGCACTACGCTGAATTACTATGTTTTGTCTTAGAATTGCGATGCAGTGAGTGTAACATTGTTCTGTTTTTTAAAAAAATAGTGGAATTGGCTTTCTTACATCTCTGTGCAGAATGCATACGCTCGAATGGCGGAGACTATAGGGGCGAGCAGCTGAGCACTTCCAGCGGACAGGAGTGTCTCAACTGGATCACTGTAACCCTGCACTTCAATCTGACAGCCTACACGGACGTGCAGTCAGGTAGCGACGCATTCTTTCAACTCAACAAAAACAGCCCTCAGATTGACAGCAAGCTTTCAGGCGCAGAGATAAGCGGGTGTATTTAAACCAGTTTCCTTTTATTGCATTTTATTGGTTATTCTGGTGGGAAACCTGTGGGCCTTGTCCACTGTTTATGATGTCTAACCCATCTGATTTACTTACAAGGAGAACTACAAACACCTAAGACAGCTGTGAATTCTAACACAATGAAATATATTGTACAGTATTCCACTATAATATCTGCAGGGCAAGTCATTTTGACATTACAATAATGAAAATTTGCATAAATGTTGTGAAATCCTGCCCCACGCCCAAACGGAACAGGTACAAAAGCTTCATATGGGTACATCGGTTGCTTTTTTGGAATTGCAGTGAAACTGGGCAGTAAACAGCCTCCATTTCGAAACACAAATTCTTTAAAACTTTGGATTGAAAGGGGAATGTTTCAGCCTGAGCAAACCATGATGCAGAGCTGCTCTTGCTTGTTCTGTAGGTATTGGGGACCACAATTACTGCCGAAACCCAGATTCCTCGGACAGACCTTGGTGCTACGTGGCCAATGAAAATGGCACCGTTCAGAAACAAGACTGTGATATCAGAGCCTGTGGAGGTATCAGACTCATTTTAAGACATGTCATTGACATGTCCATATCCCATATTGGATGACAGTGTAAACAGAGATTAAACAACGCAAAGGCATTTCAGGGACGAGGCATTTCTGTCTTTCAGTTAGAAATTAAAATATTATCTAGACTGTTTTTTTTCGGACTTTAATATCATATCTGACAGTGTAGGAATAAAAGCCATCCTCGTCATGGATTCTGGTTGTCATAGTAATGGCTTGGGAGGCGGATAACAAACCTCCAACTCACAACCATAAAAAGAGACACAAACCATTTCTGTTAACGTGTGGATTTGAGTTGCATGGGTCGAGGTATATATCTATTAGAATATATCCAAATATAGATGAGGGAATTATTTGAAATTCAACTTCTGTTGTATGTAGAAATTCTGTGTTCTCAGACCAGTGCAAAAAACAATATATTTCATGCAGACTTGTTTGGTTCCTAGACTTAGATTGTTAATGTAATGCAGTGTTTAGCATCTGTGAGATGTTATTTGTCCAATGAGTCACAAGTAGTCACTTTTTCTATTGCTGTGTACTTACTGCTATCTAGCCAGCCTTGAATTTCACCACACGTTTGGAGAACAGAGTTTTAAATACAAATAGGAAAAACTAGTGCTGCAACTGCCATTGTCACACCCCTGATAGCTGATTGGCCAGAAGTGACATGCTTCCCACAGAAACAGTGTCCAATTGGCTGTAGGGCAGACTTTGTAAACAGCTTTGGAATGGACAGTTTCAATCTGGGGAGAAGCAGGTGTTGAGGTGTTTGGCTGTCTCACCCTACAAGTTTGTGTGCACTTAATATATACTTGTGCAATAGCACGTTTTTAACACAAACAAGCTAGGTGAAATTAAACGAAAGCCCATTTGGAGCGTAGCCAAGATCTTTGAGTAAGTGTAAGTTGCATCTCTGCTTTTGTATGGCCTTAGTGGGTAACAGGCACTGTTGACTTATGAACCCTCTCAGACTATGTCACGGCAGAGCCGGGAACCCCCCCAGCATCATCCACGGGGGCACCAGAAGTCTTTGAACCGGCGCAGTCTGAGCCTGCACAGAACGACAATGCAGCTGTGCAGCCCGTCATCGGCATCAGGCAGCGAGTCCAAGCTGGGGCTAAAAAGAAGGACCTGGGAACCTTAGGTAGGTCCTCCTGGCAGCAGAGCTCCTTACTGTCAGTATGAGTCACACTGGGTGACTTTTATTCCTTTATGCCTAGAAGCGACACCCTAACGACGTGTGTTGGATGGATCCAGTTTTTATTTGACTTAAACAGCAGCTGCTTTGAAACTTTTCAGAACATAAACGGTTTTCTGGTTTCTGACAACCTCTCTACTGAGAACGAGCACAGCATTGGTACAGTTCCCAGGAAAGTCACATCCATTCAGTACTTAAGCTCTTGGTTAGTCAAAAAACCGGCTCATGCTGGGGCCCAGCAGGACGAGGGCTATGAAATTCTGTCATGGACATTTAATTATAAAAGTTATGGGAACCAGACATGCCTCTGCAGAGGGTAAAATGATACCCCAGCCAGCATTGTGAGGACTCTTACTATGCAAATAATCACATTAATTGTATGAAGAGCCGGGACTGATTGAAAGGCTGGACACCCTGTGGCTATGGATGATCAGGCTGGACATGCTGCTTTTAAAGCTTATTTTCACACAGTTTTTACAAAATATGAAAGGCAGAAACAAGGCTTTTAAACCCACAGTGGGTCCCATTGTAAGTCCCATCGCTTACCTGCAGATTTACCTCACTCCTCATTACTTATATTAATAGATGCGGTTGGGATGGGTCAGTAAATGGCAGCACTGTTAGACTGTTACTGTTCTCGTTGACCTCCTTCTGTATTCGTCCTGCAGGTTACGTCCTCGGCATCCTCATGATGGCAGTCATCATTCTGCTTGGAGTAGGCATAACATTTGGCTACATATACAAGAGGTCAGTAAAAACATTTGAATACTTCAGCACTGCCCAAAAATGTATATCGACACTGTGTCACAGCTTCAACATAAATGCCTCTAAGCAGAAGGCAGATAATCAACATTAAAACTGAAATTTAAGTTGTTTTCAAAGATTTATGATGTGATAATCCTGTCATAATTTTTTGGCTGTGTAACATCCTTGATAATTGGGGGGAATTTGTTCTGGATCGGTTGATTTTCAGAATGTCATGGTACAATATACCTTCCAAGCCAGCGAATGAGTCCTAATGATCGGAAGTCGAATTGAACCAAGAACCTTCAGAAGCCAGCTGTGTGAAAATGAGTGGGGCTGATTTAGAGCCTGCATTCAGGTTTCTAAAAACAAATGAAAACCTAGAGCCTAGAGGAGACAAGATGGGTGTCTATAGTGCCACTCAGACGAAACTGATACTTTTGGCCTGGCTTCCCGATGTCCTTGGAGCTCTGTGCTCTGCTGTTAAGCTGATTAGCTTGTTGACAGTTTTTTTTTTAAGATCACTTATGATTGGCTGTATATGCACAGACCTGATGGTGGCATCACCAAAGGTCATGTGATATTTCTAAGGGGCCAAGCGTGTTTATTTGTAATGCATGTATGTTCTAGCTGCAGTCATGTGTCTTGGAGCTAAATCTACCATTGAGAGTGGCAGGTTGGCTGCTTATATGTAATTATGATCTCAGTTTAGTTGGGTTCGTCTCCCTGGGGGTGGGGGTGCTTCTCCTGTACCTTTGAAATCACCCAAATCACGCCAGTGAAATACCCAGCTACATACGTAGTTAAAAGCTTCAACTGACAAACAAAAGAACATTAATGTAAGGCCGTATGTCCTGAGTTGCTCTTTTTCTCTTGGAAATTAGTGCTGAAGCCTGGGAGAGGGGACATTACCTCCCCCAGGGCTGTGTGGCTGGCATGAGTCATGTTGCTTTTTTGGTAAAATCTGAAAGCGGCACCATGTAATTGTAAAACACTTAAGCTGTGTCCTTTAATACTCCGCTTTATTACAAGCATGTATTCAGTACCTGAGTCATGGAGAGCCTGAAGGCTTCCCCAGGGATGCCAGGGGACACCATGGATGGGACACCAGGGTACATGCTATAGGCATTTAGGACACACCAGTTAGCCTAAGCACGCATTTGGACTGTGAGAGGGAATCTGTAGGAACCCTGGAAGAAAAATTGAATTCCACAGGCGTTGAGTGAGAGGTGCTACTGTACCCATGTGTTTAATTTCCACGACCCTGTGCTGGAGAAGCAGAAATGGCTGGATCTTGCGTATAATGATATTCTGACAGTACATTCCTGTAAATAATAATGATTATTTGTCTATATTGAAAGAGGTGTGGTGTTTTGGTATTCTGGGGTTTACCAAACGGCCAAGGGAAGCTGCCAGGACTGCAGAGCCTCTTGCGTGTCTCAGCCATGCTTGAGGGGGCGGTGGAGACGTGGCAGAGAGCTGGCTCTGTCGTACGACTCTAATGCGGTACAGTGAGCTGGCTTTTGGCCCATGGCGCAGAAGATGATGCAGCAGTGCTGTGGTGGGAGTCGGGGAGCCGGGCGGCGCATGGGGTGGGTGGGTCGCTCAGACATTTCATAACGGTGTCACGTGCAGGCGGGCAAGCACTTCCGGAACTGGCGCGTGTTGCATCGTCACCACAGAAACATAAACCCACATCTTCTTCTAATCGTCACGGGGGGGGGGTTTTTTGGGGGGGGGGGGGGGGGTCAGAGGGTGGGCGTAGACAGGTCCAAAACAGTCTACAGAAGCCAGTCGAGGGCACAACTTGATCACGGATGCTTGTATTACCAAACATTTCCCACAACCAGAATTGGCCTGTTCCCTGATTTGCAGGGGGAAAAAAAGATTTAAATAGCGGTGATGCAATCCTGATCTTAGATAAGGTACAGTTACACTGTTTACTGCTTAGAATGAGGGCTACAAATGGTATCTTCCCATTGCCTGAGACTGTGAAAATGCATTAATACAAGCTTTCGTTAACTTTAGCCCAAGAAAATCCACTTCTTGTGCTAGTTTGTGTTACAGAGCAGCTTCTGATTGATCAACCAAAATGGGGGGCTTGGATGATTTCTGATAGTATTTGACATATTTAGAGATTGTGTTCATGAAGATATTCACTCGTGCGGATGCAGTCTACTTCATCTACTTACTAATCTCCTAGTACCTGACTAATTAACTGAACAATTCAAGTAATCTTTATCAGATTAAATGTTTTGGTAGCATTGTCCATGGCTGACCTCTGCCTTCCCATTTCAACAGGGGTCGCGACCTGCAGCGGCAGCGCGAGCAGCGTGCTTACGAGAGAGAGATGCAGCGGATCACCTTGCCCCTGTCTGCGTTCTCCAACCCGGCCTGCGAAGTGACTGAGGAGAATGCAGTTGTTGTTGTCAGTGGCGACCAGCAGACGCCCTGCCAGGAAGGTGGGGCAGCTGAGGGCGGGACCCCTCTCATTGGCCAGGCAGGCACCCCAGGGGCATGAGTGACAGCTCCAAAACTGATTGGAACTGGTGACAATGGACCGTGAGGGGGGGGGTTAAAATGAGGCAGTTTCCACAACCTCCCCCCACAGTCCCAATTCTGTTTGAAGACCCCTGAAGAGGACTGTGATGGAACCGAGATGATCAAAGACACACACTCCAGTCAACTTTGTTTTCCTGATACTAATGCCTGTGTCTGAACTGAAATGATTAGGGGGCAGGGCACGAAACGGAACGGCCCTAGCAAGGATTTACTCAAGAGCAGATGAGTAATAAGTAATCATTTCAAAAGTGCATGTCAGGATGCTTGATAATGATGACAGTTCTGGCTGTCAGTATCTTTGTGCTGTACCTTTATGGCGAACTAAACCTTTTATGCGATAGAAATTTCAATGAAAAGAAAGACAGGTCTTAGCTGTTTAAATGAAAATCCCTTCTGGATTTGCATTGTGTTTTCATTTGAGAAGGTGTACTTAGCCGTATGAAAGCTGGTGCACGCATGGGTGAGAAAGACGGACCAGAGCTGTATGCTGTTTGCGGTAATGTCAGACACCATCAGTGTTCAGTTGCCGCCATATTATTCGAGAGCTGGGCACTTTTGCTGAAGGGAAACAATTGTGCCCCACTTTTTATAACAGGTACCCCAAACTGTCTGTAGTGATGCAGCAAGACTAGTTAAGTCTGGGGTAGAGGGAGAATGAGCTCTATTTTTCTTTTTTTTTTTTCCTTTTGCATTTTTTAAGGTTGTGTATTTTAAGCATGGTTTACAGCTTGTTGAATTTCTTCAGGGAAATATCGAAGGCTGTGCTTTGGGTCAGAGAAGAATTAGCAGGACTGAAGATTTAGTCAAAGGACAAAGGTAATTTTTTCACCCCTTAGATGCAATGGAATCATCATGGTTGGTTAGAAGTCATTTTGACACGTGAATATAGCTACAACTGCACATTTAGCTGAGTGGCCTTGGGTAATTTTGCCTTTGCAAAGCCTTGCCAAGGTGGTTTAGCCCCCCTGCCTCCCCCCCCCTCGTAAATCCTGCAACAGCCCATAAATGCCTGAATCCTTGAGACAGCTGCGTAGTGTGGTACTACTGGTCTAGGGTAGTAAGGAAGATAACAGCTCAGGTCACAGCCTGTAACTAATGAAACTGTTACACCTAATGTTCTATGGGGCATATAGATCATAGTCTTGTGGTGAATATCAGATTCTAAGGAGCAATAATAATCTCAAAAGGAAATCATCTTATACCACAAGCTGACTTGTCTCTCTGAAAATGACAGTGGTTTGGTCATTGTAGAAGTGGATCTGAATTTTTTCCCTCATAATCCATGGCTGTCCTGTATCTCTTCTAAAACATTACATTAAACCGCAGTTTGTTTTTTGGTTTATTTCTGTTCGACTGTTCATATAATGTTCATGTCATGAAAAGCTGTTTCAACTGGTATTATTGAAAGGGATTTAATCAGAATATTTGCATTGTAGATTTTTCTTATACATATTTGTTTGTGTCTGACTTTGTACACTGCTGACATGCAATATGTAAAATGATCTTGTTCTTTTCCAGGTTGTTTGTGGTCCATTCTATAACATGAAGTTAAATGTAACGGCCATAAATGTACACCATACAGTGAGTTGCTGTGGGCTGTTTCAGGGTTATAAATTTCTTTTGCCATTAAAAGGAGATCCAACAGCACATCCCTTCTCACATCTGTTTGTCTAACTGTGAATCTGAAGCTTTCCAAGCCTCACTTTCATTCAGTTACGGATGGGGGTGTTTCCTGGATGGATTCAGGTTAACACCATTTTGGAGCTACGGCCATAAATCTTTTGGTTTTGAGTCAGTGCCCTTAATGGCTGCCTTGCCTCCCCCCTGCTGCTATCACTAACACTGCGAATGATGGCAGCGTGCTGAAAAATGCTGACACATTATTGCTTTTCTTTCGGATCATTGCACGAACCTTGCCATACGAGTTATGACCAGTATGACTGACAGAAAAAATAGAAAAAATCTCCTCTGCACTGGAAACCCTTAATATAAGAGATTTTAAAAGACCTCTCTGTTTATTTTCTGAGCATATTCACAGATATCAGAGGTGCCAACATAAAAAATAAAAAAAAAATTATGTAGCAGCAGTCGATGCAGGACAACCCATTAGGCTAAATGGGCATCTGCCTAGGATACGATCTTCTGAGAGGGTGCCAACCACATTACATGCTTGCCTTTTTTGAAGGCATAAGATACTCAGGGCTATAGCCGAGTGATCGGACCCAACGACACCCACAGCGCAAGCAGATTTTACTGTCTCAGACTTGGGGGTGGAGAGGGGGAGCACTGGCGGTGACGCTTGCCTAGGGTGCTACTTGTGCTTCTACAAGTACTGGCCGAAGTTCTAAAGTAGTCACACTTGTGGATACCGGGAGGCAAGCATGTAATTATTTATGCCTAATATAGAAATACAGAAACTTTAAGAAGGTGATTTGCCTGTGTTCCCGCCTGTCTCTCCCTCTTTCTCATGCTGCTATACCCAGATCTGCCGGAGCCTAGACGAATATTGCACTCGATCATTTTGCCTCTGGTTTCCTCAACTCTGGCTAATACACAATTTTTCTTACTTCCTCCCTCACCCCTTCTGGGGTGTGCTCCCTGGAGCACAATGTCATTGAAGAATTTATGCCTCTGCTGCCTGCAAGACAACTACCTCCACCTCCGGCAACTACCCTCCAACCTGCCTGCCCTTGGCTCAACACAATGCCTCGCCATCCTTCCCTGCGGCTGTGCCTCTATTAATCCTGCCATCGTGCATCAAGCACCCCGTGCCTGCACCGGTCGGCCGCTGCATTGAGACATATTTCAACCCCTGTATTAGCTTAGTCATATCATCTTGTTTGTTTGACTCATCTGCCGGCCCCTGGAGGATGGGCTCCCCCTTTGGGTCTGGTTCCTCCCAAGGTTTCTTCCTCTTAGGGAGTTTTTCCTTGCCACCGTTGCCTTTGGCTTACTCAATGGGGGGGTCCTTACGAGGCAGAAATGTAAAGCGCATTGAGACAATGTAATGTTGTGATAATGCGCTATATAAATAAAATTGAATTAAAATTGAATTGAATTTGACTTTTTGTTTTAAAGAGGTCATTTTTTATCACAAGTTAGGCCTGATATACAGCAAATACAAACAAGTATATATTTTTTCTATTCTAGAATATTCTAAATATTTACATATGACAACTGTTCAGGGTGAACAAGGTAACTAAAACGAGAACATGACGACCAACTATGCCACGAAAAGTGTGAAAAGAGCGACACCTAGTGGTAAAACACCAAATATCCATAGACTGCAAATAGAATCGCTAAAAATACCTACTGTATCATGAAGACAAATCAAGGGATTACGTTTGTTTTCAACATTGTTAGGGACCAAATCAGCCCCGAACCCCCTTCCTCCCTAAACACACATGGTACTAAATAATAATCAGGTAACACCATCTAATTTAAAAGGGCGTAAGTATTTTTTTCAATGACAGAACAGAAATTCTTAATGTGGTGATGTTGCTCACGTATATAACACTACAACCACGGTTGCTGGAGTCCATTTCTACCATTTCCGCATAGCGGATCTCTAGCATAGTTTGTTCATTAAACTGCAGATGAAGCTTCCGGACTTGAATTAATTGGGAACAATTTAAATTATAATGATTTTGTACTTTATTCAGTACGACCCACTCAACTCAAAGTTCTAATTGACTAATTTTTATTTTTTATTTCCATTTTGAAACACCAAGGAAGAAATTACTTCAATACAAAACATGCATTAAGGGATTGTCAAAACATGTTCACAACTTCAATGTTATGGTTTGTTCTTTTTTTTTTTAATTAAGCATCCTGTTTGGTGACAGAACACCATAGTGATACACAGGACAGTGGTTACAATTTGTACCGCAGAAACAAGGGTAGCAACTATAACAAAAATTATTCACAGGTGTTCGTACATGATATTCCATCTGAATGATTACTCCAGAAATTAATACACCCAGTTTCCTCTTGAAGCCCCTATACATAAAAACATTCTGTATATTTTACACAATTTGCTTTATCAAAAAATCAATCCAGTTTTATTCAAATCAGAACCACTTGGATTTACTGAAGTCCGTTTAAAAAAAAATAAAAAATAAAAAATTAAAAAAACAATAAGACAGTGATTTTCTATGGCACAGGAGATCAGGAAGTGTGGAAAATAACCCAAGATGAGTTAAACCTGGGCCACGTGTGCAAATTCTCCAAACAATTACACTGCTCCAGTTGACAATGGTGTGAGAAAAAGAGACTTTTCTGAAATTTTAAGGCGGGTGGGTAGTTATGTGAGCCTTAATATTGAACATTCCTACAAAGACACAATTAAATATTTATTATTTAAACCTGTGACGCCTAAAGTTCAAAGAACTTTTTGCTAAAGGGTCCCTATACTATAACAATCACGTCAGTGCGTTCGTTTAAGACGGTTATACGCTTGCCATGGCAACACCAATTGTCAACAAATGAGTCTGTCTAGTTTTCCACGGGGCTGTGCCCTCACGGGCTGGACGACCAGGTGTCGCCAGTAGCTACACTAGTCTTGGTCCAGAGTATTAGTGCGACCTGGACCATTGCGGATATCAGCAAGGTAGCCGACCCCACTTAGATAACAAAAAACAATATATATCACATTCACTTTGAGGTTAATACAAAACAAAGACAGTAAAAGGTCCCCAGCTTGGGGTCAAACTAAGAACCATTAAGTCAGAAACATTAAGACGGCGGCATTTTCACTGAAATAGTGGCACACTGCTTGAGGCATTAAATCTGGATTCCAGCATGAGATATATATAAAAAAAAACAAGTCCCATTACTAAGAGCAAGTAATTCCTGTTGAAATGCTTCTCTCCTCCCATCCTGTTTTTTGGCCCGTTTCCTGAAGGCTTCATTGTCCTTACGACAGGAGGACCAGTCCCACTATGTAAACACATCAAAGTCCATCGTGCCCCACGACATATTAGTGCATAAACAGACACGCGGTTCTAGTGTGTGTGAAGGGAGGGGGCTGGTGGGGGCTAGGTCTTGCTATCACCTTCTGTATCCCTCAGCCCTGCTCCGTGGGGCTCGTGGAGGTGTGGCAGACTCTGGTGCAGCTCCTCCAGCTCGGCGGGCAGAGGGATGCCCATCTCCTGGTTGAGGGCCAGGGCCTCAAAGCAGTCCTCCAGCTTCTCAAATGGTGGTCTGGAAGGGAAAAAGGGCAGAACTTAGGCTGAGCCTGGTGTTTATGGGTCATTAATATGTTAATTGATGTTAGAGGTAAATTCCTGTCTTTTAATTATATTCTGAATAAACAAAATAAATTAATTTTAATATGTTACCTTAGGTAAACACCAAGAACACAGACATGCAAACCAGTACCACTGACAGGTCCCACCCACCGGTTCTCAGGGATGAGGTCACAGCAAGTCACAGCCAATGGGAAGAAAGCAGGTGGGCTCTCATCTGGAAGGAATTTCTCCTGGAACTTGGCCACATTCAATCCAAAGTCCAAGGTTCTAGGTAGGCATTCTGGGTCTGCGTAAACCTGGCCAATAATCTGGGGAAAAGCATTTTTTGGTGTATTTTATGACTGCTTATTTTAGTTTGACTGGAATATGCAAGAAGGGCAGACAATACTAGGACAGTTACTACCCTGACACACACACACACAAAGAAAGAGAGAGAGAGAGAGAGAGAGAGAGGGAGGAAGAGAGAGAGAGAGGAAGAGAGAGAGAGAGAGAGAGAGAGAGAGGAAGAGAGAGAGATAGAGAGAATGGCCACCATACTGATAAAAGCCTCACAACACCAAGAGCTCCTTTCTTGGTTACTGGCCTATTCTTTTCAGTTTCCTTCTACAGTATGACCAGGGGCAAGTCAAGGTTATCACCACCACACAGGCTTCACAATTTACCGCAGGTGCCTTCACCCTTCGCAGCTGCTATTTGGGGGTGGAGAGGGGGTGTTCAACACAGGGTAACTGAGGAGAGAGATATCTGGGTTTTGAACAGGTGTTAAGGGGGGTTCTCACCTCACAGAGGACAATCCCAAATGAAAATATGTCCACCTTCTCGTCGTAGCGTTTGCCTGAGACACAAAGGGCTCCGTGTCAAGGGTCATTATTGTCATGGAGTGGCTATGATGTAACTGGGCCTTAATTTGTCATTTACTTTCTAGGAGAGTGAATATCCTTCCTATAGTATTTCATGCAATGGTGGAACTCCATTAAGATGACAAGATAATGGTTAAGGTTAACTTAATTATTCAACATACTAATGTGAGAATCAAAAGCTCATTTCATAGAAATATGTCCACCTTCTCGTTGTAGCCTTTGCCTGAGATACAAAGGCCTTTTGATGGGACCATAGAGTATTGTTTGATATCGCAAGCTTTGATACATCTTCCCATCCCGAGGATCTAAGAAGCTGGAGAGATGAGGAGAAGGTGTTCACCTTACCGTTCAGCATTTCTGGAGCCATCCAGTATGGGTTCCCCACCACAGTGTAGCGCTTCTTGCGGTCAATCCTCCGAAACATTCTTTTCTTGGTGTTGGGCTTCTCCGGAGGGGGGTGTTGGACCTTCTCCTCCACAACCAAGCGGGAAAGCCCAAAGTCGGCCACCACCACTGTGTTGTCCTAGTAACAGGGGGACAACTGAAATTAGGATATTTCCATGGCATTTTTGACATTGGTATCCAACTTTCAGCTACTCTGTGCCTAAGTGATCACCAGCCACTGGCAGTCATAAGCCTTCCAATTAAACACACACACACACACACACACACACACACACACACACACAGACACAGTAATTTTTAATAAATTGAAATATCCTAAGCCTAACATTTATAGAAACTACTGTGCATGTGCATCCTTAATTTCCATCAGGCTTTAGTGTACTTTGAGACAGCCATTGTTAAAACCAGAAAAGATGTATGACAGATAGAAATCTCTCTCATACATCTATGCCAAGTCAGCAAGTCTCATCTACTCCCCAGCACATTAAAACAAATGTTCTGGATATGCAGCCTCCAAGCTGGAGACGGGTAAAAAACAAACAGTGGCAGGATGTTCCAAGGAAATCCATATCTGTCTCAGATGTGATCAGAAATGAAATAATAATTGATGTGTTATTTCCTCTTTTGGTGTCCAACTGATAAAACTGACTGGAGTGCCAGTTCCAAAATCTCAAAAGAGAAAAAAAAAAGTTTCATCAGCAAAAATTGGTGTTCTGATCTCTTATGATGCACATCAAAATTTATAAAACTAAAAACCCAACACTTCTGTTTCTTAAAGACTCAGTGAGCTATAAGATTCCTTTATACATACATCCATCCATCCATCCATCAAACCCATACTCGAAGGTTATACTTATTAAAACAGTGATGATGACATGACAGGTAAAAACTGGTGCTATCTGACTGTTTCAAATTGACGTTCCCCTGACCGCCTCCAGGCCTTGCGGAGCTGTCTGGGAGGGGAACACTCCCACATTGATGGTGGTAAACACACTCGTAACAGCGGCCGATTGGCTCACGGGGATCTTCCCACGCTACACCGTGGTGCATGCTAGTCAGACACAAAAATCTCCTCCCTTGTGTGTGTGTGTGTGTTTTTTTTTTTTTAAAGGGGCCCACACTATGTCAAAGGCTCAGAAGCAAGCTGAAGCCTGTGTAATTATGGTGTAATTAGAAGCTCAGAGCAGTGGAATTGAGAACTTTCTGGGGCTACAGTATTTTTCCTGAGATATTCCCGGTTTTATGGATTTTCCCATAATCTGCATCTAACCAGGACAACGTCACACGTACCAGTTTAACCAAGCAGTTGTGCGAGTTGAGATCTCTGTGGATAATACTCCTTGAATGCAGATAAGCCTGGGACAGACACACATACACAAAACAGTAAACAAAAAGTTTATGTACATGACAATACCACAGAAGTTACAAATACATGGACAGATTTGACACAGACACACACTGCTTTCTCCGCGGGTTGCCTTTCAACAGACTTGTATTTGTCAGTTCAGACTGATCCCCCCCCCCACCCCCTGTCGCCATCCTCGTTCCCTCCAGTCTTTGTGCGAAACCTGAACCAAAGCTGCTTTGCTGTAGCAACAAAGTTGGTCTCCCTGGAGACCAGTAGGGACTGGGAGGAGGGGCATGTGAGCAACGTTAACCCTTCGCTTGACCACTTGGGGGCACACTGGCTTTTGTCGGAGCAGTTTCCAAGTGGTTGACCAGCTCACCATTCCAGAAGCAATGCCTTTGGCAAAGCTGACTCTCTGTTGCCATGGAAAGGGATCCTAGAAAAAAAAAGTAGCAGTGAGGCAAATGCCGCCTTGCATTTTAATCCAGCAGCATGAAAACATGACATATTTCCCCAACGACCAAGGTAAAGGCTGCATAAACAGCACAATAAAGCATTTTATAAATATTTCTACATAAAGACACCTAGTTCTGTGGCAATAACATGCATTAGAGTTAAACCCTGCCTACATCCCAACACACAGTCAGCATTGTGTGTGGACCTAGAGTGAATCCATTAGGGGTGTAAACATGTTATGGATGAAATGGGGCGGGGGGACATTCCCCCCAATATCAGCAGACTCCACCCTCCTTCCTAAACAAATGAATGAATTAATGAATAAAAAAAATAATATGAGCCTGTTTCATCTCTTTTTTTATGAATCCATGCATTACTGAGGTCAATTAGGTCAGATGGGGATGAACCCTTAACCCCCCCCCCCACCAATGTCAAACTCCTTCCACTGCCAGTGGTGTTAACACAACTGAGGTGGTACGCACCATGTCCCTGATGAAGTCCTTCAACGTTCCCCCCTCAATAAACTCCGTTATTAAATTCAGCTTCTTGTCCTTGTACAGCACACCAATAAACTTCAGGACGTGAGGGTGCTCCAGACTTCTCATGACCTTCACCTGATGAGGTCGAAGACAGTCATTCCGCAGCATTTCTAAGGCGTTCCCAGAATAACCACATCACCTGCCTTGCTTTCGGTCCCAGATTCCACTCCACGACAAATGGCTATAAAGTTCTTGTATGTTAGGATTACTTTTCTCTTGTGTACATGAAGCCTGAAGCGATCCATCTGTGAATGATATCCGACCTGCTTGTGATCCTGGACAATACCGTGTGCATGTGCAAAACCAACAGGCTACTTTGTGGAGTCACAGTGCTATCCCCAGAGCAGCGGCACTGACCTCCTTCAGGAAAGTCTTCTGCGTCTCCTCATCACAGCGAATGAGCTCCTTCATAACCATCACCTCCCCTGTAGCTTTGTGGGTCACCTGTCACAGCATATTGTAGCTGGTCACCATCATTTCTGTTAATTTTAGCCCAAGTAATACTTATCTAATTAAGATGAACGAAGAACAAAAGGTTGAATGACCTTTAAGTGCCTTTAAGTGAAACAGCTATAACTTACTTTCGCTCAGACAAATCAAGGAACAGCTGAATTGCCACAGAGCCTTAGGCACTGCCGGGGCAGCTGCGTACCTTGATGGCCTGGCCAAAGAAGCCCTTTCCCAGCACTTCGCCGTGGATCAAGTCACATGGCCGGAAGATGCGGTGAGAACAACTGCTCATGGAGCGCAGCGACTCTGAGCGCCCGATGTCCCCGGACAGAAGGGGGCGCTCCTTCGGTGAGGTCGGCCCGGGAGACTTACAGATACTGTTGCTGCGCCTGTTACCCAGCGGCAGCATTAAAAGAAAGGCAGAGCTCATGTTAATATTCATTTTATTTTAGAAGCTTTGTAATTTACTGAGAAAACAAATACTAATCTGAACCATTAACCAGTCACCTTACCGATGACCTTTCCCATTACTGGGAATACTTAAACTGCTGAAAATCATGGGAATATCCTGCGTCCAGGGCTGTGGAGTCGGAGTCGGAGTCGGAGACAATTTTGGGTACCTGGAGTCGGAGTCGGCAAAAAGTTAACCGACTCCGACTCCGACTCCTACTAAATTTAAATGGGAATTAAAAAAGTAAGTTGAAATGTCCCAATTCACAAACAGTCATAATGAACTACTTCTCTGCTGTAAGAATAAAGCCCAATGCATGCAGTGCATAATGTTACCAGAAAACGAACATGTCAAGTAACCATGAAGCATGCTTTTCATTGACTGTATGCGTCATTATATGGGATGTAATGCACAGGTAAGGTGCGGCACCGCTTTCCATTGTGTCGTGTTCCACTGTTACAGGGAACTGTGAACCTAGCCTAAAGCCCCCCATACATTTACAGATGCACTGCCGATTTTTCGGCCGTTCAACGAGTCATCACGCGTCAAATGCCTGAAAAATCATCTGGTGTGTTCTCAGCTCCGTCGGCTCCCCTTCGCTATGCGCTAGTGAAGGGGGCCGAAGGAGCCGAGAACACAGATCTCCCTACCTGTCTCCAGCAGAGGCTCGTTCTGCTGATCAGCTGGCCGGTGAGTGACACAATGCACTAAACTTCCGGCTGGCTGACAGAGGAGACAGCCACTGCAGCAGACAGAGGCATCACATTACTTTGGATGGGGGCGGTGGTCGAGATTTTCGGCAAGCTGGATCTGCTCGTCCATGTGGACACCCGCAATCTGCGGCCGCCAATCAATTGCCGCGATTGTACACACACATCGGTCGGTGGCAAAATCCTTGTTTTCATTGTGTTTGTCTTTAATCTGGCATTATAGTAGAGTGTTGGCTTCCTAGCCAGTAGTTCTGTGGTGAAATGACATGTATGTTGCCTTCCTTTCCTTCAATGGATGTAGAAAATACATTAGCATAGTATATACATACAGAGGAGTCGGAGTCGGGGAGTCGGAAGATTTAGAAACTGAGGAGTCGGAGTCGGAGCATTTATCTACCGACTCCACAACCCTGCCTGCGTCATTAAATAATTGTGCGGGATGTTGATGGGAATAAAGAATAAAATACGGCCACCTCCACTCGTCCTCTCTCGCCGGTTAACCAAACATTCAAACTTCAAACCTTGTACGTTTCCCTGGATTCATTTGTGTCGCAGACCTTTTCCAATATAGATTTCTGGGACTTAAACCAGCAGCCTTTTGGTTTACATATTACCTGCTGGTTAAGTATCACATCTCTTATTGTGACTTTGCCTTGTACCTTAATGACCTCCTGTTCAGGGTACAGTCGTCAACGGGGGCACGCCTCTCAAGAACAGCATTGGTGGGTGATGAGAGGCGCATCCGAGAGGTGGCGGGTGCCCCTAGACTCGTGTGCGAGGACCCCAGGCGGAGTCTGTCCAGCCGCTGCCTGACAGGGTCGTACTCTATGAGCAGCTGCAGTGTCTGACTGGTCCGGTGGATCAGATCCTTCATCTGGGAGAGCCAATGAGAGCAGAGGATCTTAAGAGTCCATCTCTGTGTCTCAGTCTCTTGCTTCCCTCCCTCTCGCTCACAGACACACCTGAACCTAATAACCCTTATTAAAAAAGTAGACCAGAATCACAAAATATCAGGAAACTGTAATTTTGAATATGATGCACATATAAGCAGTAGGGTACAATAAAAAGGCAAATGGCAAGATTATAGATGCATCACATTAGAATAAAGTCAAGGTGGGTCACCTGTAAACAATCAGTACAATGTTTCTCAGGGTGAGCACAAGATGATTTTCAGCATTACTACTGCCTGACCAGCAGGTGTCAGTTCTTCCAGGCAAAAGTTGCAAAGTCGACACCCCCACCCCCAAATCATTTCCTCATTCAACCAGCCCAGATGAATTGGTTTGTATTAAAAAACAGCTGCTAAAAATTTAAACACCGACTTCAAGCAACGCATTGGTAACTGCTCTCAATTATGTGCATCTGACATTGCACCAAAATACTTTATATTTACATAAATTCGTATTGGACCTTTTTTTTTTTTTAACTCTTTTTAAAATCTGAAATTTTTAATTGTGCATTCTGTGCTTAAAGTCACCTGCTTTTTCAAATGGGTGGAAGTTTGCCAGAATGGACCTAGAACTGAGCTGTGGAGGACTAGAATTACTATGAATCTAAGTAACTATAAAATTACATCTAATTACATTTACTATAAATTACTGTATTATGTACTATAAAAGGGAAAATGAAAGCATTCCATCTCAGTCTCCCAGATATAAAACCACCTTTGGTTAAAAGCAGATTAGGATTTAGGGACTTTCATTGTAAATAACAGGAGAAACCTGACTTAGGGTTTAGATCAGGAACTGCTGTGATTTATAAAACATGCAGATAAGACTCACATAAATGGTAAACAGCTCAAAGCAATGTAGCTGACAGATTCTGGATGCCACTTTTTCCAGTTTAAGTAGGCATGAATAAAAGGAAAATCCCGCAGACTAATGATGTGCTCCTCGGGAATCAGGTAGTTACCAAACTGATATACACAAAATGATTTTTACCTTCTAATTTCCTGAAAAGAAATGCTTAAGAATCATGAAAATTCAGGACAGCATGATCACTAGTAGTACTACTACTCGGGTTTCAACAACATAAACTAGCCCGCTATAATCACCCAAAACAGCCTTTTAAGGAGACATCTCATTGGGTGAAGGAAATGGAATTCAGATGCTCACCTCATCTTCCATTAATGTAGCTACAGAGATGCCATTGATCTCCAGAATCCGATCACCAACATGGATGGCGTTCCTCACTTCCGGACTGATGTGCATCCCTCGAACCCTGAGGGGCACAGAAGTGACATAACTTAACCGAACACACTAATAAAAATCATCTGGGTCTTTTATTCTCCTAAACACTGTCACCATGCAGAACAGAGTGACACAAACACACTGACACTGAGCTGGATACTAACAAATTCTGCATTGTTTGATCTACAGGTTGAGAAGTTCATTGGTTGTCGAGATACAGTTGATAGGACAATGTGCTGTGAAGCTAGGTATGGCTGAAATGAGCACCAATCTGCTTCTTGCCCTGTGCGCTGGTAAGGAGGGCACACACTTACTCCTTGACTTGCACAGTAGCCTTGCCGCTGGCACAGTCCCGTACCACGGACACCGAGAAGCCCCGCTTGCCGTTGGCGGCGGCCGGCATGGAGATAAAGGTGACGGTGTGCGGCAGGGAGTCGAGCGCGGAGTCAGCAGAGCGGTTCTCCAGCATGGGCGTCAGGACTATCTCCCGGTGGCAGCTCCCGCTGATGGAGGTCGAAGGAATCGTAAGGGGATCACAGTGACAAATCAGACAACTAGATCGGCTAGTACCTACGCTACTACAGAACGCAAATGGGGTTTTTAACCCTGGGAAAACAAAACAAAAAAACTCTGAAGTCTGAGTAAATATGGAGGGTGGGTGATAAACTACACTAAAAACTCCATAGGAATTTAAATGAAGCCGCAAAAGTAGCTCATTACCCAGCATACTTAGGGGCACTTACCAGTAAAGCTTGGAGCGTTCCACCAAGGCATAAGTGTCCTGTTCTTCTATGACCACTTTGCAGTTCAAACACACAAAGCATTCTGGGTGGTACTTGTACTCGCCTGCCACCTGGAAGCGGATCACAGAGACAGAACTCATGTATCGCCCGTCGTCTCCCAAAGGCGTTATGACAGGGAACGCTGGCAGCTGCCCCCTCCTCCCCGTCTATGTGACACTGGCAGAAAACCACATGGATGGCCAAGTAATCAGGTACGAGGTGAGGCAGCACCCCACAGCAGGCCACGCCTTCGCAGCCTTCTCTTAACTCTCGCTTTCTTTTTCTCGCACGAACAGCTTCCCCAAGTGCCATTCCATTCTGTGTCATCACACCCTGGACACTGTTTGAAAAACGCCACATTAGAGGACTTCATGCACCGCATCACTACATACTATGCATTTGTACTTTTGTACATATTTATTACAATTACTATAAAGAATTGAATCATGATTCTAAACTGGGTCCTCATCTCCTGGTATGTGGAAGAGCCTTCACTGGTCACTAGGAAGCCAGATCACACCCACTACTGGTTTCCCCCCCCCAATCAGGGAGCCACCATTCTCTCCTGACAATGTAGGATGATGACAGACATCAGAACAGAGACGAGTGCATAGGAAAGCCACCTTTCTGAGGGAAAGTGCAGGTAAGCAGTCTGCGCTGTGATGAGGTCACGCATGGGAGACCCATCTCAGCACATCGAAGGTGGTTCTCCAGCAATTTCCCCAGCTTACTGTCACCCTCTCTGACACACAACCACTCCAGCAGGAGAGAGCGCAAGGAAAACAAGCTGGGGGGGGGGGGCGGGAGCCGTGGTTACGTAACCAAGAGACAAACAGAGGCACAGGCTCATCTTCACTAAATAACAGAGGTGCCCAGAGACGTCTGCTGCAGAGGACAATCAGATGTTATCTTCGTAATGCTTTACAAAATATAATATGCTATAGATCCAACTCAAAGAAATAACAGAAAGAGCCAAAACATGCACCAGAGACGACTACTAACAAACACTCATGGCTGTACATTGCAGCCAATCTCAGGTAACAAGGTGAGCTCCTTAAAGTGAAGCACTGAGCACCTCACTCACCTCATTAGCGCACAAAGGGCTGCTTCACTGTGTATTCCGCAAATGAGGATGAGGCAGTCGTCAGCGCTGGCCGCACAACCCTCTTAGGAAACAAAATGACCCAAAATCTCTTCGCCGGATTGAGGCTCACAGCCGCCTGGACGGCCCTTGCCAGAAATACTTGGCAAGCTGGCAGCCTGGCAGTGCGGCCAAGGCGGAATCGAAAGGCCTATTATTTGTCTTGGTTATTGAGGGACCTTCTTGTATGAGTTCACTTCAGGATCCACATTTAATTAGTTGTAAAAAAACAAAAACAAACAAGATTTAGCTGCGGCCGGTTGCGACAGGAAGTTCTCCACTGGTCGGATACCCATGAGCTCACAGAACCAGACCATCTGACCAACCAAGAGCCGCAAACCATTGGACCCCCAGTGACCCTGCTGAGGCTCCCGCGCCCCCAGTTTGAGATGCCTGAAAGCACATAGCGGCTGAGTAACCTCCGGATGGTCCCCCGTGCCTGCGGTCTCTCCGTGACAGATTTTTGATCTCTCATGACCATTAGGATCTCTGTGGCTACATTTCGATTATATTCATTTATTTCTAAAGAAGGGGAAAGTTTCACCAAAATCTCCGAAAATAAACTCTTATGCTATGACGTGTCAGTGTTTGGGGGTTGGATATTGTACCCAACTATGCTGGAATCATGGGGAGGTTGGGGCAGGCAAAATTCCTATTCTATGACAATTGAAACCAGTTTGCTATAGATAATTTTTACAGACCACCCCCCCTGAAAGTGCTGTCTGAAGATCTGCCTGCAAGAACAGCATCTCAGGTGGACAAAGTGGCAGGCATCGTTACCCATCCACCCATGTGTATGCTCATCCTGTAGAGGGTAACAAGGTACCCAGGGTGGGGCACCAGTTCCTCGCAGGGCTAATATGAGCACACACATACTACTGGCAATTTAGAAAGACTAATTAGCTTAACTGCATGCCTTTGGAGTGTGGGAAACCAAAGTACCCCCATTATTCAATTTGGGGAAAACAAAATTATTCTCTGACCTCTTCAAAGAAGGTCTTCAGTAATCCATCCATCTTCAAACCACTTCTCCAGCACAAAGATTGCAGGGGAAAGGCCTGGAGACTATCCCAGGCAGCAACATGAAGCACAAGGCAAGGGAACAAGGGAACACCCTGAAGCTCAGACACCAGAGGGCACATACTCACGCTCCCAATATCGGCAATTTAGAGATGCCGGTTCACGTAACTGCATGTTTCTGGAGAGCAAGAGGAAACTTCAGGACCTGCAGGTATCCCACACTATTTGGGGGAGAAAACACCAACCGCCCACAAAAAGAATGTAGGATTCAAAACGCAGGTGTGCAGCTACTGGAGGATCAAAGTCCCTCTTCTCAGGGAGGCAAGACCACCACACATGATCTTATTGTAATAACTCTGAAATCACTGAAGAATTATTCCAGTAGTGATATTGTGACAAACTCCATATTTCTCAGAAGGAATCTTAACCTGAACAAAAAGGCATAAATTTACAGATGAAGCTGTGACCATGAAACTCTGGACATGATTGATATCACTTAATAGCCCATCCAGTGTAGCCATGGCAATTCAATACAGTGAAAATGGTTGGAAACTGACAGATAACGTTCACTGGAAAATCCCCCCAAGCATAGTACTCTGAATGGGAAAGACAAGGGGGGTTAAAACAAACCATTAAGACATAGGACTGTATATGAAAAGGCTATTAAACCGTAGCCTTCCCCAACCAATATCTTCATTTGATAACAAACAATTAGACACATTAGGAAATAAAATCAAATATACACTTCAGAAAATGTTCAGCTGACCTCAGACGAGCTTCCGCACAAAAACACCCAAGTTACACATCTTATTCTTTATATTTTATTTTTATTTATTGGTTTTTATTTGGAGCAAATCATCCTGTTTCATGGTTAGTGACTCCCCCTAGGTTGGCAGAAGAACCAACCCCCCCCCAAACCTAGGGCTGCCTGCAGGACTGATAACTCAGAAGGTGCTCTATGCTGGAGGTAACACCCATTTTCGAGAAAAAGAAAACAAGACAAGACAGGGTCCCCGCATGCCAGGAGAAGGCGTGGATTCATCCTGTGACAAAGTGATATCTGGATAACTTTCTGAAGGCATTCCTCCACTTATGACAGAAGTGAGGAACACAGAGACAAGGATCAAGCAGTAACCAGGCAAAAGCCTTCTGCAGATCTGGACACGTAGCGTGTTTGTTGCCCACCATCTTTACATCTCATACTAGAATACACAACAGTTCCCAGCATAAGAACACAAAACACACTCACCATAGCCGGCCCAGTCATTAGCAGAGAGCATCCGTGACACATCTCGCCGAACTTCTCCCAGTAATGGCTACGGCAGTACAGCTTGCCGTCCTTCTCATAGTACCAGTTGGTCAGGTGGACGCAGCACTCCGAGCATCTGAATGGGGCGGGGGGCACAAAATAAGGCAGCTCATCACCACTGCATCACTATCATTTCCAGAGTTTTTCCATAAGCAGTTAGTTACTTCACATGCACATTTGCTTACTTGAGGCTTTACTATTAAGTGAACATTTCAATTAATAGAATTAGTATTTACTGGAACTGGTTAACATTTTTCAGGTTCATTGGCAACTGGAACCAGCAACCTTTTGGTTAACAGTCCAGATCCTAAACCACTATGCTACCTTTTCTAACCAAAAATCCCATCTTGTCATTTTTCCTTCAATCCAGCAGGCCTCCTGTTGTCCAAAAAATAATGTCCAAAACAATACACTACATTGTTATTCCTAATGTGTACATTTAATAATCTGATCTTTTTACAGGAACACTTTTTCCATGTGTCGACAGCAAGTTGTCGTTGCGGAGAGTTGTATGCTCAACGGCCATGCCACCCGCTGGACCTGATTATATACACTGATTCAGAAGATAGGTTGCAGAGATTAAACTAGGCTATTTATAGATCAGTGAAACCAGGAACTTTGAACTCCAGTATCATCAATCGATTTACTGTAAACATCTTATTTAGGAGTGGAGACCTGATGTTACAAGAGGCAGAACTGGACCTCATAAGAAAAACAAAATAAGCTGGCAGATAATGGAAAACCCCTATGTAGATCTCATTGCGATGGCAAGTGAAGCATGAATTTTGGACTTTTGCCTAGAAGCATAATGGTTTCAATTTCACACCGTCTTCACTTCCTCAACACTGGAAAAGGTCTGGCGTTCCAGTGAATTAAAGGGACATTATGGTAGAAAGGCACCTCTGGAGGCAGCAAGAGCTAATCAGCAAGATTAGTTCCAGAAACCATGCCCAGGGGCGTGAACAAGGGCATGCTCTAGACGCCAGCTCGGGCTGAATGATCACCTTTGTTTGCGGCCTCCTCCTCCTGTCACCGGGTATAAGGCCCGTGTTTCTGGAACGTGTCACAACTCGCCACCCGCAGACCAAGAAGAGGTTGGAACACAAAACTTCTGTATGAGCTATTTCTGGAATATTTTTACCTGAAGGTTGAGGCCCCCAAGACAGGCATTTTAAAAGAAGACTTCTAAAGAAAAAGACAGTTAAATTTCAATTTGCACTGACACCACAGCCCTGTACCTACGGGGAGGGCTAATCCTCAAGAGTGACGGTGTCAGTGACAGTGGAACTTAAGCTTGGGCTTCAAGAAAGGATAACAGACAAAAGCTGTTATCCTTATAAAAAAGCTTTTTATACCAGAAGTCATGGCAACACCTGGGCACAAGATCACAGGGAAGCACAAAAAACATGGATAGGGAATAATGAATATCACCATGGAAGGACAAAGGCCTAAAATAAGATGCAAAATCCAACTGGAAGTTAAAGTGAGAAAATGAGACCTAAAGAGGGCAGGATTAGTGAGCCCCAATCAATCACTGTCTGATTTGACCCAATGGGAACAGCTGACAAAGCAACCAATGGGAAGTGGGTCAAACCAACAGGTGACTAGCAGTGCCTTGTGAACTCACCAATTGCAAGCTTCAGACACACATTTCTCACGTCACTTTTAGAAATAGTTTCCTATAAGCCACCGCACCATCCAAAAGACACTTTATCATATTAAAAAGACAAAATCTGGCAAAAAAGGCTCATCTGGAAGACATTTGCAACCTGGCAAGAATTAACTTTCCATTAAAACCATTTTCTAAATATTAAGTTTTTAAAGAGCAGTAACGACAGATTGGGGTGCAGCTGTTACTTCTATGTGATCAAAAATTCATAATAAAATACCAAATACAAGCATCATAGATTTTTTTTATTTTTTTTTTTGAAAACCACAGGCTCATTCAGTCCATTCCAACTGGGCAAAACTGGCAAGTCTGGCAAACGGGGCGGGTGTTTTCCAATGAAGACGGAATGTTCTTTGCTCAGGATGCTCCAGATGCCGAAGGGGAAAGGAACACCTGTGTGATAAACTGGTACCTACAACCCACCAGGTTTCACCACGAGGTCCGGTGGGGCCCTGTCCAGGCCACATCGGAGGGTCTTATGATATTCATTCTTTGTTGGCCGATGGTACGAGCCCTCTCAGGGGCGCCTCCTACATCTTAGCCAAAACTCTTGACAGATATTCCCTCGTTGCCAACCAGTCTTGCCTTAAAGCTCCTTACAGGTTTAGTTCTTTTACAACGGCAGGAGCAGGAACGCAAACCTCTGGTGGAAGTCTGGCACGTCTCGCCCTGCAGAAACAGAACCGTCGTGGCTACGCGGGTCCTGAAAGCAGGAAGCTGCTCAACCTCTGCTGCAGCGGGACTCGGTGAAAAGGCCTCAGTGGTGCTGAAAGTCCGTCTGGATAAAAACGAGAGCGTGCTGTGGTCCGGGGAGTTGGCCGACTGCCCAGGTGCTGGGCGCCCTGCCGTGTCGGTGAGTCTGGGAGTGCCAGATGTACAACAAGACAAAACAAGCGTGGAAAAAGGCTGCAAAAAAAAGCCCCCCCCAAAAAAGAAAAGGCCCAAAAAAGGGATGAAGAAAAAGAGGACCCAATACCATGTACAAACAGAGAGAAAAGTAAGAAAATCTTGAAAAATCTGTTTTGTTTAGTTTTATGCTAATTTACTTACCCATTTTAATACAGTCATATTTTTAGTGAAGTAATTTAAGGTCAAGAACTTTAAATTAGGGTAGAATTTGGAGCCACTCAAACACTCCACTGGATATGTGAGGCAGCTTAATCCTCTACATAAAAAAGCTCTTAAAAAAAACCACGGGCAAACATCCAACTGCAGCAGTCCACCTTGGAGACCTTGTGGAGAGAGGGGACCCCGGACGGTAGAGGGGTCCCAGAGAGACGGCACCTGGAGGAGAAAGGACCCACAGGGGAGAGAGGTCCTAGAGGATCGGGGGCACCCTGAAGGGGAGCGTGTAAACCCCACGTTTTCTGTGTATACCTATGCAACAGCTGTGCCCTTCACTTTGACTGAACTTTTTTGTTTGGACCAGATTCTATTGGTTGGTTTTTGATCAATCATTTTTTTTACATAAATATCTCACTTCTGTTCTCTTGACCGAGTTCTTAACATATATGCCCAAATGTTCTAAAAACATGCCTCCTGTGAAGATGACATTCTGGTTTCTCGTAATGCCAAATTCTCCTCATATACACTACCCAGCACTCTCAAAGACTAATGTGCCTTCGCTGGATGAACGAGAATCAGATTCAGAGGTGAGAGAATGCCAGTTTGGGCAGTCACAGAGCCTAAGTGGCGGGGCCAACTGGACTCGGCCAAACGTCCTGTGTCAATGCCACTCACGGTAGAGAGAAACAGTAAGCAAGAAACCCATCAAGACAACCTCATACTAACACATGATCAACCAAAGGAACATGCATGTAATGTACTTAAAATGAACCGATGCCAGTCCTTTCATCGAAAAGAAATGTTACTTCCCAAAATCATTGAAACTGGATTATCTTTAACTTGTTCACTAGGACAATAAAAGTGACACCAGACAAAATAGCCCAACACCTGGTCAAATCCTCAGTCTGCTCTATTACACACAAATGCAAACTAAGCTATGTTTGACGTACAACAGCAAGCATGAGGAAAGACATATGAAGAGATCTATTTTTCACAGACTTTCCATTTAGCCACTCAACACTGACACCACCAAGTTTACTCTGTTTCCTTCCACCGGGTAAAGCAAACTACATAAAATAACTACATAAAATAACTACGTAAAATAAAACAAAAATTGCTGAAACATGAGCTATCAACCCACTGAGCTCATGACCTTATCAAAATAGAAAAAAAGGCGAGGGGCAGGTAGGAGATCAAACAGCAGCAAATCTTCTCCTCCTAGTTATTCCAGCTTGTTAAGGGAGGAATTTCCCTGGCTGCGATCTTTCCATATCAGACGGCTGGAAGCGGTTCAAAATGAACAGCCAGGCCAGTAAGGAGCAATGACCACAACATTCAGCAAACCTGAGTGAACCACAGAAAGGTCCGATATCTTAGAAGGTGCCGTCATCTTACTAGGCCCCACACCGACTCATCTATGAACTCAATGAGACTCAGAAAATAAAGTGTAGTTTAGCCATAACATCAACGCTATCACTGCCTGTCTAAGGCACTTTAAGGTTCTGCCAGCCATGTACTCATAGCCAAGTGCAATTTTCTCAAACACACACACACACTCACACTCACACACACACACACACACACACACACACACACACACACACAGCCTTCACTCCCAGACTCATGGGCCTGATTCGACGTCTGGGAATGTGCAACACACTGCAAAGCACTTCGGTGTGCAGTAGTGACCTACACGTTCAGCAACATCAAATGGAGGAAAGAAAATAAATAAAGCCTGGCTTGTCTATGCTTTCCTCACACGTCTGAGGAGGAATTCCTATTAATACAGCCAAATAAACAAACAATATTTGAGAGCTGGGAATTTCTTTCCCCATAAGCATGTCTGTTCTTGCTGGGTGTGTGTGTGTGGGGGGGGGGGATTAAAACACAAAATAGTTCATCCAGGGCATCCTTGCCAAAGATTGCGCTGTGTTTGGCAGAGAGTCAGTATGGTAGTACAACATGACATACGTTTTCTACAGAGTCGCAAATGTTTATAAAATAAGCAGCTGTGTGAGAGAAAGACTCTGGGGTACGAATGTAGCTGCAGAAAGGCCACTATCAACAGGGGAGAGAGACTCAGTTTGCTGGGTAAATCTGGACTGTCTGCGTGCCACCATTTCCTGCACTTAAAACAAACCCAGTCTGAGAAGAAAATTCAATTACCCACACTGTGTTTAGGGGAGATGAACCATTCTTTTTTAGAGTCTGAGAGATTCAATTATTCAATGCAAATAGAAAAAGGAATCTGCATTGAAACGATGTCGTTTACGCCGCTGTTAAAAAAATTGAAATGGCGGGACTCCATAAGACACTAGCATGTCTCCTGCATCAGTGTAGCTGACTGCCTCAGGACAGAAGCTGGCCAAAAACCAGCACTACATCAGTAGTCAGAGCCCTGTGGTGACCACCTGGAAAACAGCTGTTATTTTAGCTATGATTAAGCCTCTGGGTTTGGCACAGAGTCCAGCCCTTTTTCAGGTGAACAGACAGCAACACTGATTTGATTTAATACCAGGATTGTTATGCAACTGTGGGAATTCACTTCTGGATAAATTAACACTCCTATCGCACCCTTTGCAATTGCGCTTAAAGACTATGAGACAATACTGCAGGTGGGTTTGAAAGCAAGTTAAGAACAGCACCACAGACAAAACAGTGGCCCTAGCTAAACAGAAGACAAAAGACAATGGGTGACAGGAAATAACTTTGGAGGCAGATACAAGAGAAGAAAAATAAAATACATAAAGACACGGGACACGACAGGATGAAAAAATGTGGATCTCGGTAAAGGACTTCCTGTTCCGACAGCAACAGACACAGTGGTCTGTAATCAGCATGTCTGTAATCACAGCATCCAAGCAGAGCAGCATCTCTTACAGGCCAAATCCCCTTTTCCTGGTCAGCCCCAATTCCCTTGCTGTCATCGTTATACATTTTCCGGGACTTTATACCATGGTAAACAATGCAGCGTTTATTATGCCATACAGCATATTTACATTGCTTGATCCTGTCTTATGTACACTGGTCTTAATGTAGCATCTCACTATTTGTTTGAAACACAGTTCCTGCAACACTCATCACCAGCACGTGTTCCTGGTAAAAGTGTACTCCTGTTTTTGTACACCACCCATGCATTCACCTCAGGTTCCCTTAGAAATAAATCTGGTCTACAAAGCACACCCCAAACACTAACCCCATGAAAAGGAAAAACAGGATTTTCACTGTCAGAAATGTCCTAGAGTCCTTCAGGAATGTGCGCTAGCATACCGGCCATAATACATGCCTACAAGTGCAATACCTGGCGAGGCACACACAAACGCACAAAGAAAACACCATTGTTTCCAAAACATTTCCCCTAGCAGAGACACAATACTAACCATGCGCATCCACGAAACTGCAATTGAGGCTTACACTTAAAAGGTTACGTTCTCTGGTTTAAACGTTAAGTCTTTGGTTACTGTGACACATTCAATGGGAACTTATTTTACGTTATGTGTTACATTTTAAGTGGCTACTTTTCTAAATAATTATATAAATAATATCAGCCTGCATCAATTTTCTGGCACTATAGCACAATAATCAATACCACTGTGCACTGGAGGGCAGGTTACTGGCGCATTATACACTACAGTACTAATTTGGAAAAAGCAAAAATCCCCATACTTACTGGAAACAGCCATTGTGCCATGTTTCCTTTAAAACCTTCAAGTAGAAGCTATCCTGAATCTTTCCTCCACATCCAACACAGTGGAATTCCTCTTTACCTGTGACGGCCGAAAGGGAAAAGTTACATTTTTCATCACATTAAAAAAGACCTCAAAAATCCCCCGACCTGGACATATAGGTCTAGGACAGTAAATTAAAAACAAATACGATTATTACGGATGAGCAACACATACATCATGTTATTAATTAAAAACAATCCATCTTAATGAAACGTACAAGGAAAAAGTTTTGAAATATTACGCAACGCTTGAGGCGAGTATTGTAAAACATCAAATCCAACTCAAGAAGGAAAAACTACACACATACAAAACATTAATGTTCTTGTCATAGCTTCCATATCAGTTTCAGATTTGCTCCTTTCTGTCGCATCAGTGTAAATACATTTACCAGCATCTTCACCACTGCAATCAACATTTAAGAGCAGCCAAGAATAAACACCACATGACACATAAGAAACGCAAAATATAATCGCGACAATAGTAAATCACATTCGGCTAATATCTTCAAGATAATGCAAAGTGCGGGGGGCACTGTCGTGTCTCGACTTCACGACTGTACGACTAGTAAGCATTTTACACTGGATCATTAACAACCTACACGTTTCGCTCGCAGTTCGCGAAATCAATGGCAGCTTACAGATCGAAATCTATGTCTGCGCGAAAAGTTTTAAGTCTAGATTTAAAAGTGCTGTTTAATACTACAGGGTGCTTCGTCACTCACCTTCCAGTTCCTCCATCTAATTGCTGGCCACAATATTTCTCTTCTTCACATGATGGTCCAGTCTTTTCTCCAAATTACTTTTTGTATTGATTTGAATATTCGCGACGCGCCATAATATATTCCTTATTCAGTCGCAATGTAGAAAAAAATGCAGTTTGCAGCTGAAAAAGTTACAATTTTTAAAGCGTCAGCTATAAAGTCTCTCGTCGGTAGAATGCATGACGTCATGCAGTTAGCATTCCAGTACGGAGACCGGAAGGGATCAAACAGCAACACCTGGAACGGGATTGTAGCCAAACCGCTCGGTATATCTTTACTGCTACTGCAGCGCCACTTATCGTCCACAGAATGGAAAATACATAAGTGAAGCGTCCATTACTGATACTTCATAGGAGTTACTGTATGTCGCGTTAAGCGAGTGGGCTTTCCATGAAGTTATAAAACACAAATCGGAGCATGAGCATTAAACCACAATGCATTTTTAAAGATAAATATTCATTAATAATCTAGCACTAAAAATGTTAGTCTAAGTAATAAAAACACCAAAGACGTTGACAGGACTTTTGTATATCCATTGTGATGGGTGATACAATTAAATGTTGTTTATAGAAAGCCTGTTGTATGTGCTGTATGTTAGTCCCAGTGTAACCCACTGGGAACCGCATGGAAAGTAGACAAAGCCATTCGATGACTCAAAGAGCACAATAACAGAGATCTGGCGCCATTATTTACAGATTTCATGTTGCCCATACAATTAACTGTGCATAAAATGCAAACTCTCCATCGTAAACGGTCTGGTCAAGCGCATTGTGACCAGTTTGGCTCCGGTTATAATAATTAAAATTTATTGCCTACATGTTACTTGACTTTATGGACTACGGTTTCTTAGATCGGAAATTATAGAGGGAAACAATATGAACATGTGAGCTAAGCTTGCAGATAAAAGAGACCTATACGAGTATTCATTTAGTGGAACGCAATCGTTCTGTTTTAGAAAGTCGTTTTATTTTGATTTACAAAACTACCCAAAATGCATATAAATAATTTTCATGTAATATAGAGAACTACCTTATACCGGTATTTTGCAGTCGTTTAGATGTATAAAAAATTGGAGAAACATGTACAAAATACTCCTTTGTATTAGTCAGAATGGCCGAGGGGTCTAAGGCGCCAGACTCAAGGTTGCTTTCCTTCCCACTGTGGGATTTCTGGTCTCCTAATGGAGGCGTGGGTTCGAATCCCACTTCTGACAAACTTTTTGAACAACCATGACATTAATTCTGCAGCGCTTAAAATGCTTGTGCGCAACTTAAGGAAACGTTTTATTAAAACTGTAAAACTATGTAATGGTATAATATTACTCATTTTTTTCATTCAAAAGTAACGCTATACAGAATTTCTGCTATATTTTTACTATTCATCTGTAGAAAAAAACACTACATCTTGTGTTTTAGTATGAGGATACTTAAAGTACATTTACAGTATTCTGATCTCACTGGTGTGGTCATGGAGGCATAATGCCCTTCAGAAAATGAAACCTAAATACTTAGGACATAAACTACAAATAAGCCCAAATTCACTCGGGATATAACTGATATAAAAATGCATGCAGGTGATGCAACCCGAGATGTAAATAGAATAGGGAGTTTATATTTACTGCTACTTGTGTGATAAAATAATTCAATTCCTGGTTAGGGTGTAGATTTGGACAGTGTAGCTAATGGAACACCTGACAGTCTAGCTGTCATTTTATGAGATAAGAAATCAATTCAATGCATGCTGAGTAATAGTATACTGCTCAGTCAACCACAGGACAATCCTGAAACTTGAGAAACCAGTCAAAAAATGTTAACTGATCTCCAAGATTAGGGCAATAAATTTAACACAATTCATTCCGCTTGGACAAGAAAAACAAGTATTACAGCTAAAACTTATTTGCAATAGTCACTGCTATATGATGCCATTCATCTTCTCACTACTTATTGAGTACAGGGTCAACCTGGAGCCTATCCCAAGAAGCAGAGCTTATGGAAAAACCCTAGGTATAATGCCAGTCCACCACTAGAAGCACATAATGGGCAACTTATAGGCATCAATTCATCTGCTCCACATGGATACGGATTCTGGAAAGAAACTGGAGTAGCTGGATGAAACCTGCACAAAAAGAAGAGTGCATGCAATTTCCACACACAGGAAACCACAGCAAGCCCAGAATCCCTGTATAAGTGAGCCAATGTGCTGCCCTTGATGTCATCTTTTATGAATGAGAGTTGATTTATGGAAAAGAAAATACAGTGACACAAGCACATACACCTATATGCACACAATACTCAGTTTGCCCTCCATTTACATATTTAACAAACACTTTTGTCCGAAGACAAAAAAATGTAGGGTCAGACATCAGGGTCAGCCCTGGGGGCCTTTGCTCAAGGGCCCAATGGCAACATGATTATTTAGCTAGTTACCAGCACAGATCCCTAACCACACCCTGCCAACAACTCACATATCTGCTCCATTATTTGAACTATTTTTTGCAAATAAATAAATAAATAAAATCAACATATAAAATGGCTAGACATCTCATTCTTTCCTTAAACTCATTGGATGAAACATGAATTAATCCACCTGTTTATTTCTTAGTTCCAGCATCAGGAAGGTTCGCTTTACGGTGTTAAACTCCATCATGTGAATACCACCAGGCTGACAGACTGGTTCCACACCAGTGCTGCCATGAGGAATGAATAAATGATTGCAGATATAATATTAATCACACTAGACATGGGAGATTGGGAGTTTGTAAAAGGTTCATTATGCAACGGATATGTTAGAAACGAAACACAAAAAGGAGAACAGCAATCAGCAGGAACGCCTTATGCAATATATGCATTCAGATTCTGAACTTTATTTATCCCGGAGGAAATTGAATGTCAAGGTCACAACCGTTCTCCAGGCTGTACTCCTGTTTGCGTCTCTCAAAATTGCTTTTCTGAGAACGTCATTTTTTTATCCTCTCAAAATTAAAATTCAGCATGGTTAATTGGCATGACAAAGGTTTCCATGGCTCAAAGTCCCTGGACACCTGGCATGCATTCATTTTCCATAACAGCTTATCCAGTGCAGGGTTATGGTGAGAGCTTGTCCCAGGAAACACGGGGACACCCTGGATGGGATGCCGGAATTGCATATATAAATGTTGCGTATGACATGTGGCATCAGGGCCCTGAGAAAAATAAGTGGATGTAGGATATTATTACTATTATGAATTTCTCAGTATACAGCATAGATCAATAGTCACCTACTCCAGCAGGAGTTCCATGTTCCTCTTCCAGTAAGGGAGCCTTGAGCATTTAGCTCTATCCAGATTTTATTCAGAAGTTTGTGAGACATGCATGGATGGGTCAGTGGGTAGAACTGTTGTCTCATATGTACACCTCCAGGGATTGAAGTTCAACTCTCATTTTTGCTTATATAGTATTCTTGGTTTCCAGTGTCGTGCGGGTTTCTTCCAGTAGTTCAAGGTGGATTGACATCTTGCACATAGTGTGTCCCCTGTGTCAGACCTGCATTCCTCTGAAGTCGATCCCATCTTGTGCATTGTTGCTTCCTGGAACAACTTTGCTCTGACCCTGTTCCAGATGAAGGGTTGTAAAACTGATAAACTGCACACTGACATCTTTGAACTCTAAACCTCAAAGTTATATTGTTATGTCTGCTAACCGACTGCTGTCTGTAGTCCTCCACAAAGCTTTAGGGGTGGTATGTAAAACTAGTTGGATGGGTTTGGAGACCCACAACATCCCCCACTAAGCCATGAGAGCTTGGGGTGGGGGGTGACACCAGTTTCCCATGAAATAGAATTGGCTCTCTGGCTACCTGCCTCGTTTTTTTCTGGCTCCTAAATGCACATAGGAGGTACAACTATCATTTTAGTAATTAACAGCATTGCACATAAATCATAGTCTAATTACTGTGCAATTTAAGAAAATCTGGTGGTTTTAAATCTGCACATTTTTCGTCTTTGGATGCCCCCCGTGCCCGCTGGAGCCGCCGCTGATTATTTCCAACAGTGTATTGATTCTTAGACACTTGTTAAATGTTTCCTGACCCTTCTAAGAGAATCCATGAGCTGCCCCACTCATCTCTCTCAGTCACTCCCCCCACCGCCTACCCACAACAGCTAGGTTAATCTGTTTCCTGTTTCACAACATGCAGAAGCTCAGAAGGCTTGTCTGTTTTCCACAGACCAGTAGTATGATGCATTGAGCAACGAGCCGTCACTAATAGGTGGGCAATTCAGTGCATTAGCTGTGGGAAAGGGACTGGAGAGCTTATTGGCTATTATTTACAGACATGTGAAATACGTTGTACTTCAAAAGTGTTTTTCCACTTCGCCATTGTTATCAGATAGAAATGCTTCATTTAATTCAGGACCTCATACATTTTGTGGTAGTTTTAATTTCTGACATCTATCCACTATCCAACTCACGTATCAAACACAGAAACACTATGCATAATACATGGAGCTAATCTCAGGAAAGACAAGACCAAGGGGAATGGGGAAAACCCTGAATAGGATGCCAGTACATCACAGGGCAAAACGCTGCATTCTCCGGTGGTAAGTGGAACTTAGAATAGCCCGAGCAAACTCCACACACAAACAGCTGGGGGCAGCATTCAAACGTTTAACCCTGGATGCGTGAGGGTCATTGTCTCCCACTGAGCCTCCATTCTACCCTTACCGAGTATACTACTATTTTCAAAGTGAGTTACAGTACTCGAAAAAACATTAAGATTGAGTTTGGATGAATATGAGCACTATTCTGACAAAACACATGGTGTATAAGCATCTTATCCTATCAGCATCCTGTATTTCTGGACAATGGCTTACTTTTCATTTTCTCTGTCTTTCTAAGTCCTTCAGGAAATGTAAGCTATTTTTAACAGAAATGCATCACCTTGTCACACTAGCAAGTTTGTTTTCATTCCATTCACATGCATGTACAGACCGACAAGTTTTGTTTTTTACTACACCCATGTTTCAGAGTCACAGAAAAGCAATCTGCAACATGAGTGGCTGTGAAAATGGAGATGGCCAAATGAGAAGTAACAGCACTGCCTTTCCATTCAGTGAGAGTGAATATCTGTACAAGTCTCTTCGGTCTCTCTTTGGGTGTTAAAGGGAGTATCCCCCCCCTCCAAAATCAAATATTAACACTCCAGATGGGGGGATAGATGGGGGCTCCAAGCCAGAGATAAAT